GGGGGGGGGGGGGGGGGTTGTAAGTGGCAGTGCAGGGGGTGCTTTCACGGCAACGCAGCGATGGAGCAGCAGATGCCCTCAGCAGGCTATAACAGGCCTTCACGGCCGCCAGCCCCTCCCTGCGCCCCTCCCTGGGCGCGCCGTCACCCTGAGCCACTAGGCCCCCCCCCCTTAACAACCTGCCTTGAGACCCGCCCACCCTGCCGACCCACCTGCCAGCCAGTCCTCCAGCCAGGGCTGACCGGGCCACAGCCGGAGCTCCGCCAGGCCCCACAGCGTCTGCGCCAGCTGCGCGCCGCTGCACGCCCCTAAGATCCGCCGTGCCGCCGGCAACACCTCGCGCACGAAGCGCCCCGGCACCGAGCCCGGTACGCCCACCCCCGGCCGCAGCGCGCCCAGCGCATGCAGCGCGAGGGCCAGCTCCCCTGGGCCAAATGCCGCGGCCCTTGCCGCTGCAGCACGGTACCACGCATCCATGAAGGCCAGGTCGGGGGCGTGGCCGAGCCGCGACAGCGACCACAGCAGCGTCGCCAGCTCACCCGGTGACAGCGCATCCACTGCCAGGCGCGCTGCGCCCAAAAAGCCGCACATCCAGTTGAAGCTTGGCAGGCGCTCGCTCGGGGGCGGCGGAGAAGGCGCAGGGCTGGCATGATGCCCTTCGGCCCCTGAGCTGCTGCTGCTGCCGCCACTGCCTTCGCCACCGCCGCCACTGCTGCCGCTGCTGCCGCCGCCGCTGCCGCCGCCGCTGCCTCTGTCGCCGCCGCTGCTGCTGCTTGTGCTGCTGCCCATGCCGGCGCTCGACTGCCTCTGTGTTTGCTGCTGATGGGCTGCAAGGAGCAGTGTTGCAGGCACAGGCGTTGGTGGGGGCATGGCTGCTAGCGCATAAGCCGCGCGCACTAGTGAAGGTGGGGGACATGCGCCGCGCGTCCCCCAGCGTTGCCGTAATGCCTGTGCCCAGCGCGCAAGCCACACGTCACTGGGTGCCTCGCGCCAGGTGGCGAGGGCGAAGGCCGCGTTGGCAAGCTCCTGGGCATTAAATGAGCCCAGAGCTGCAAAGCTCTCCACACGCCACTCCCACAGCCACTCCTGGAAGGGCCGAGCAACGTAGGGAAGCGGCGTGCTATGGATTCAAACGCCAAGGGAGGAGCAGGAGGCCATACCAGCGCCACCCACACAGTGACATGCACAGCCGTCAGCATTGACAGGCCGGGCCATGCCGGGAGCCCACTCACCTGCGAGGGGCGTTGGCCGCCCAGGGCCAGGCCTACTGCCAACCCGGCCAGCGCCTCTGGGGGCGATTCGGACATGCGGCCAGTGGTGTGCTGCACGATGGCCACCAGCAGCGGCGCATCTCTCAGCTGCAGGCGTGCTAGGCTGTAACCTGCCCTGCGGAGATGGCGATGCACGTTGCCTGAGCAGCCTTTGTCGCAATTGCCGCCGCCTTGTGCCGAGCCAAGCATCGTTCAATAACTACATGAGTCACATGCCATCATTGACGCAAGCCAGAGGTTGTGGCGCAAAACATCCCCGTACCTAGCACAATCCAGCGCAGTGGCCGTGTTGATGCGGCCTCTCAAGAGGTCAGCGCAGCGCTGTGCTGTGCTGCGGCAGGCTGCCACCATCTCCTGCGCCCGCCGCTCGCGGGGGCTCAGCACAGCAGTCGCCCCAGAGCCGTCGCTGCCATTAGGGCCGCCGCCACCGCCCATGCTCCGCAGCCTTGTGTGGCCGCCTGCCTGCCAACCGGCGTCGCGCATGACCCTGCCCGATGCGAAGCCGGCCAGCAGTGCCAGCGCGCACCCCAGCTGATACGGTGTCATGGCCCGGCCATAATCGTCCACCAGCTTCGTCAGTCGTCTGCGGAAGCGCAGGGTGAATGATCGAATACGCACATGTGCGCAGGTGGAGCTGTGCTCGCACGCGATGCGTCCAAATGTTAAGCAGCACGGAACAGCATGTGTTGCCAGGTGTGTGCCAACTGACAATCTGCCATCATGCGTCTGTCCCGCACCTCGGCCCAAATGCTGCGTTGACTGCATTGGTCAGCCGCGCCTCAAATCCGGGGTCGGCCGGGCTGCCGAGCTCGACACGCACGGGCGCATCTAGGCTGGCCTTGCGCCGCTTCTTGGGGGGCGGGCGGCGGACGTTCACCAGCTTGGCACGCCGGCCGCCCGGTGTCGCCGCCGGCGCTGCCGCGGCTACCACCATGCAAGGCGCAGCTAGCGTACGACCGCGTTGCAGGAGTTGGCGGCAGGGGGCGCTCCAGAGACGGGCAGAAGTTGTAGATACGGGCAGATGCCGGTGCGAGGCTGCATCAACGCGCGTGCCTATCCAACTGGGCATATGCATCCAGCCAACTGCAGCGCCGAGGGGTCGCAAAATTTGCAGATCGGATCAGTGCATCATCCGTGCGGTGAATATGCAATTTTCAGTTTAGTATGTCTTATCAACAATGTTGGTGTCTGCCCGATGAGGTGAGACGCCGCAGTAGACAATGCGTTTCTCACTGCTGACACAGACGGAGCCGTCCATGTGCTTCCTTCTCACTGCACCTCCTCAGCACCATCTACTGCACCTCCTCGGCGCCACCCACTGTCTGGTGCTGTGTTGTGCCCCCCATCGCTTGCCATCGGGCCAGTCATAGCATACTCTGGGCAACACAACCGTCAATGCTAGCGTTGCACGTCAAGTCAAGTATGAACGCACTGCTTTCAAGCGGTGCACCGCTTTCAAGTGCCGTGAGTACCAGTCAAGGTGCTGCCACAATGGCCAGCTGTACAGCCGGGAGCCAGCCTCTGGCAAGTTCTTGCAAGAATACGTAACATTCCAATACACATGACGCTAATCAAAGCGCAAGTTGACAGGTCTAGAGGGTCCAACCGCCTGTGCGCTGTGCCCACCAGCACCAAGGTCACCAAGCAGGCTGCACGATCACCCGCCCCTGCTACCAGCGCCTGCCACGGGGCCAGGCTATGGACATGGGGCTCGCCCAAGGCGTGCTTGCCTATCGCCCAAACCCTGGAGCCGAACTTGCCAATGTCACCGCAGCCACCACGGTTACAACAGTGGGTTTCATGGGGGCTAGCAGCCACACCAGGTACTGGACTCCAGCAGGTGTGATTATTTGGGGTGGGTATAATAGAGGGTCACACGGGCCACATTTCGGTGGCACCGACCTGGCCGCCTGTTCAGCGGCGCAGGGGCGATGTGACGCCCGCAGAGGCGGGTTGCATTCACGCCGTTTGAGAGTGGCGGTTGAGTGGATACGCAGTTTTGCGGATGCAGCAAGCTGTGCACGTTGCACCCCTATGGACAACAAGAATTTCAACAGCCGGAGAGGCCAGCAATTAGTGCAAGGCTTCTGCTTATGCCTGTGCAGCGGGACGCCAGGTAGGCAAGGCTGGCAGCGTGATTGGTTAGGTGCTGCCGGCTGGAGAAACACGTGCGGCTGGGGAGGCCAAAGACGCGCCACAGCCGGCGCCGGTTTTGTCTTGCGCTGCCTACGCCTAACACCTTGCCCCGCCTCGGCTGGCCGCCTACTGGCCCTTGCTGGCCGCGGCAGGCTGCTGAACCTGGATGCGGGGCAGGACGTGGCCGCCGATGCGCTCAGGCACCGCCTCGTTGTAGGTCTGCACGCCGGCCTGGGTAGCGTGCTTGGCGGTGCGCGCAATGGCCTGACCGGCGGTGTACACGCCCTTGGCGGCGGCGTTGGCAATGGCGTTCTCGACCTCGAGGGCGCCGTTGAGGGCGCGCGGCAGCACTGCCGAGAAGGGCTTGTCGAGCTTCTGCTGGATGATGGCGGCGTTCTTGTTCACGTTCTCGGACACGGTGTTGGAGACGTTGGCCAGGCCGCCAAGGGTGGCCTGCAGGCTCGCGGCGCCGTTGGACAGCGCGCGGTCGGCGACGGCGAGCACGGGCTTGGGGATGCTGACCTTCTGGATGGTGTTCAGGCCGAGATCCACGCCGCCGGAAATCTGCTCCGAGGCCTGGTTCAGGCCGTGGCTCAGGGATGCGAGGTTCTTGTTGATGACGGGCACGGCGCTCTGGGCAAGGTCCCAGGCGCGCTTGTTCAGCTCGGCGTTCACGTTGCCCAGCGCGCCAATGGCGGCCTTGCGGAGGGGCTGGGTGGTGCTGTTGACGGTGTCAAGCACGCTGCCGACGTGGGCACGCGCGCCGCTCAGGAGGGGGGCGGTGAGGTTCGCGACTTGGGCGAGGTGGGCGGCACCGGCGACGGCGCCCCCGACGGCCACCTGGGTGGCGGCGTCAAGACCGTTGTGCAAGCCGGCGGCGACGGGGCCGAGCGCGGTGCCCAGCTGCGCGGCGGCAGCGGAGGCGCTCTTCTCAAAGCCCTGGGCGGCGTAAACGCCGCGGGTGAGGGCGCCCTTCAGCACCTCCACGCTCAGGTCGACGGCGCCGTCCGCCAAGCCGGAGGCCGTCTTGTAGAGCGGCCGAACGGCGGCGTGGCCGGCGAGCTGCGCCTGGCCCGCGAGGTCGTTGAACTGGCTAGCCAGGGGCTTGAGGGCGACGACAACGGTCTGGTGGCCGGCGTCAAGGTAGGGCTGCACAATGGACTGGATGTCACCGACGTTGATGGTGGCCAGGTTGGTGAGGTTCAACTGAGGGGCAACCTCCACCAGCTGCTTGTTGAGGCCGTGGGCGGTCTTGGCGACAGTCCTGACGGCGCCGTGGATAGCATCAGTGGCGCTGTTGGCCAGGGCCTCGGCCTGCTCGCCGATGGGCTTGACCAGGCCGTCCACCAGCACCACCACGCGCTTGTCGGTGCCGTTGAGTTGCTTTGCGAGGTGGGCCAGGACCTGGTCGCTGAGCGAAGCGACGCCCCCAGCCAGCGCGACGCCGTTGGCTACGGCAGCATCAGCAACCTGGTTGCCGGTGGCAGCGGCTGCGCCAGCCAGCTGCACGCCCAGCTCGCTGGCAGCCTTGTGAGCGGCGCTCCCATGCTTCTCTGCGCCGTCCAAGAGGGCGACGGCGGGCTGCGCCAAGGGCTCGAGCGCCCCGGTCAAGTTGCCGTGCAGGTCAACCAGCTGCTTCACAAACTGCTGCCCGCCACCGCCATTTGCGAGCACACTGACGGCCAGGCAGGCCAACAGAGCCGCGAATAGCAGCCTGGAGGAGCGCGCCATCTGCAGGATTCAGCACATCACAAGAGGGGGGTGGAGGGTACACTTTTGCAGATGCATTGCTGCTACCGTTGCCTGTGGCCGTTTACAAACCCACAATTGCTCATCTTGCTGCAGCGTCATCCATAACACTCTGCAAACAAGCCCCGGACCAGGGCGTTGATGGCGGCATCTTCTGCAACTTCACAAGTGGCCCCTGCTGCTGAGGCACGTGCACGCAGCGGGCAGCAACAAACATACGCAGATACTGCTTCTAAAAGCGCATCATGGTCTCATTGAGGCCGCTGATAGGCGCCGACAAGGCCCACCTTGCAGCACGGCGATTCCACACCGCGCCAAGGGCTCCGCGGCTATCACGGCTTGATTGTCGAGGAGGAAAGTATCAACGCGCCAATGTTGATTGATTGATTGATTCGTGAGGCAGGCGCACGACACAGTGGCCGCGGACGTGCAGTTGCGTATCCGCCAATGACTGATAGAAACTCGCACCCTTGGGTCTTCCGCGATGGGCAGAGCTCGATAATGATAGAAGACGTTGGTCTATTTCACAGGCTCAGCATCTTGGGACGACGTTGAATGCTGCGGGCACGCACTACCGCGTGCTACATTTTCAAGGGCGGCCTCACCCATGAGCTGCAGCCAGCACAGCGTTGCAAAGCCACCATGCGCCACGGCGCATCCCAATCCCTTGTTGCACAAGCGATGGGCCTTTGTCCGCATCAATTAACTGTTGGCACAGCAGACGATTGTGTTGAATCATGTGACCGCAGCGTAAAACGATCCGCAACTGCCGGGCACCCGCACTGCTGGTAAGAGCAGCACTGGTGCATTTTTGCGTGCCTGAGCAGGATAGCAGGTCCATAAAATGCTGCCAATTTGTCAAACCTGCTGGAGTCACAAGATGCTTGGAAGCAGCAGCCACAGACAATTGATGCGAGAACCTGCATTGCGCTGTGGACTGAAACTGGCATGCCAGCCCGGTTACAAGGGAGGCACTGCTGCGTACAAACAGTGCAGCAGCTGTTGCAAGCCTGGTGAGGACACTGCCTGCCCTAATTGTTAGACCGAATTCAACCTCAAGCCATCTACGTTCCAGCGAGCGTGACAACTCGCTGAACAACAACATAAGCCATGGGAGGCACCCGCGTCCCGAGGGGCAGCAGTGCTTGTGCCGCGCCAGAAAATCAAGCTGCGTGCCTGCACCCCAGTGCAACTGCTCAGTGGGCCTTGGGGGGCAGCGGCATGGGCTTGCCCTGCTCGTTCAGCACGGCCTGCTCGCCAGCGCCCGTGACGGCCTCCGACTTGAACTCCTCGTCGATGAGCTCGTCCACGTCATCGTACACCTCCACCTTGACCTGCATGTGCGGTGTGTGTGTGTGTGTGTGTGTGTGTGTGTGTCGCGTGGGATTGATTCAAGGGGGCTATTTATGAGAGTTCCGGGTTGATGAAACGGTAGGCAGCGTCAGAGGCGCAGAGCACGTTGGATTCATGCTGAACAGCACCAAGCAAGTTGGCATGGGGCAGGGCATCATCGCACAATTGCTACACAAACAGCTGCGCCCTCGGGCCCCAGTTCCAGCAGCCCTTTTCGCACCAGCCCAAAACAACGCCCACCTCGGCCGCCAGGGTCGCCAGCGCCGGCACGTCCTTGAGGCCCGCGCCCGCAGCTGCCTCGCCCTTGCCCTCATCGCGCGCCTTGCGCTCGGCCATCTCCTTGGCCATGCGCTCCGCCTTCTCCGCCACCTCCTTGATGTCGCCCACCATGTAGAAGGCCATCTCAGGCAGGTCGTCGTACTTGCCGTCCAGGATGCCCGTGAACCCGCTGATGGTGTCCTCCAGGGACACGTACTTGCCGGGGGAGCCCGTGAACACCTCAGCCACCTGGGAGGAGGGGGGAGGAGGCGTTGGGGGCATGGGTGGGTGGCAGCCTGCAAGCGCATGCGTTGAGTGCGAAATCGGCGCAGACAGGGAGGCGGCTCGTGCAGCCGCCCGTCCAGATATGAAGTTGGTTTCAGACCAATAAGCAGGAGGCAATCGCAGCGACCATCAGCGCTGTGCCACTTGTGAGCACCCGGTCAGCTGTGAAGCTGAGCACAGGATTAAGACCCAACTGCCCACTCCCCACCCCCAC